TGTTGTGACAGAGATTTGAGTGAGATGATGAGTAAATTTGGGTTCAATGGTTTGGGCTTGGGTTGAACTTGTATTAAGTTGACCTATTCCAATGCACTAATTAGGCCCAACTTTATTCTACATTTGTAGTTGGGCCTCCTCTTTATTCTTTTCTTTTTTTAGAAATTTTTTAGCGTTTGCTTATGAATTTTTTTAAGAAAATCCATTTTATTTGAAATTTTAAAATTGAAGTTAGAGATGAACTTGTGTTTAGTCATAGTTTTGTAGTTAATATTTTGAAAATAGATATATTTTAAATATATATAAAAAAATATTATTTGATTTGAACATGGAATATAATTTAAAAGAAGTTATTTTATGAAAAAAAAATTTAAAACATAATATATTAAAAATAAAAAATAGTAAAAACAAGATTTTTGGTGTTTTTTTGAATTCTAACTATAAAACTTGAGTTGTATTTGAAATTTTCATGGCCAAATATTATTATTGAAAGATGTGAAATAATTTTTCGAAAATAAGTGAAAATTTGTCATGGCCAAACGGTTTGGATTCATGTATGAATTTTTATAATTTTTGCGATTTATTTGTGCAACCCACAAATTATAATGTCAAGTAAAATGGTCATTGGTATACGAGTTTTAGAGAGGTTTGATGAAGTTATTGAAGATATTAGCGACCAACCACATTTAGGAGTAAAGTGAAGGGGAAAATCAACCATTATCAGCAATAAACTTGAAGAATACAAACGAGGATTGCAATTGCTACTATTAATCAAAGCCAAAATAATTCTAATAGAAAGACCCATGTTTCATGAAATAGTTAACTTTGCTTTTGTTTTTTGGTGTTATTGTGTTTTTGTTACCTTTTTTTTTTTTTGGTTTCATTTTTTGTTACCTCAGTTGGTATCAAACTCTATTTTGGTGTTGCTCTGTTAATTGCAATATTAGGTGCCAAACTCTACAATGCCAAGTTTGTTTAGGCAATAACCTTTTTCTTTCATATCAATTAGTCAAGTTGTAATTTATATTCAAATTTTGATTTAACATAAGATGAAGTTCTCATTTTTTTATAATGATATTCTTTTGGTTATTTTACTTTCAGTGATTTACAATTGAAAAATGAAATTGACATGTTTTGAGTATTGTCAGCATAAATAGGATCGTACCGTAAGTCGGGCAACTCCCTATCTTCCTCAAAAAGACTTTTAGTGAATCCATAAGTTAAAGTTGCATTTGATATTCCGATAAGGTATAAAGTGGCTATGACAATGTGAGTAAGACATTGGATCATCATGTGGCTCATAGAGATGGTTATCGCTAGGGCTGGGCATAATATGGTTAAAATCGAAAAAACCGACCGAAACCGAATTTTTTTATTTTTCGGTTATTTCGGTCGGTTTCGGTTTTGATTTTCAATATTTCAGTTTTTCGGTTCGGTTTTCGGTTTTTTAGCTGAAAAAATCGGTTAACCGAAAAAACCAAAATTAGATATATATACTCTTTACCCCTTCATTAAAATACTGATCTCAGCCCACAACTTTTAATTAAAATACTGATCTCAGCCCAATAGCCCATGCCCAGCCCAAATTCTAATCAGAAAAATCCCTAATCTGATTTCCCTAATACGTAAGTCGTAACTCTCATCTCATCTCTCAACTCTCGTCTCAGTTACGCCGCGGCTCCGAGCTCGTCTGTTAACTCTCATCTCTCATCTCTCAGCTCGTCGTCTCAGGCCAGCCGTTGCTCCTGGCTCCTCGCTGAGTGCTCGACTGCTCGCAGCCCGCAACTGTTGTCTCATCAGTCATCTGCTCAGTGCTTGCGACTCAAAAGTTGAAGGTCAGTGCTCACTGCTCATTGGCCACTTCAATTCCTGCACTTCTGAAGCTTTTTTTTTAATTTACAGTGTTATGTATTTCTTACTAGTTTTGACTTTGTGCAGATTTTTGTGGATGAGATTGATTTTTTGTCCTTTTTAGGGGTGTCTAGGCCACTGTGTTTGTTTGTGTTGATGTTGTGAAATGCTGCATTTATGATTATATTGGTGTAGTGCAGTAATTCACAATTCACGGAATTGGGGCAAGTTGTTCGGAAAGTGCAGCACTCGAGAAACAGCATCTTGGACCACAGGCCACAGGCCACTGTTAATTAAATTTGGTTAAACCGAAAATCAAACCGAAATAAACCGAACCGAAATTATAATAACTGAACCAAACCGAATTTATTTCAGTTTGGTTTGGTTTCACATTTGGCCAAACCGAAAACCGAAAAACCGAACCGATATTTACAAACCGAACCGAACCGACCGAACGCCCAGCCCTAGTTATTGCTAGTATTTGCTATCATTACGTCTTATAGTGTATAGTTTATTTGATTTTACTTCATGTGCATGCTTTACTTCAGTTGAGTTACTTTCAGTCTTTCAGTTCGATCGGTTATCTATTTCATTAAGCTTTATTACATACTGTACATTCCATATATTGACGTCATTCAACGCTGCATCGTTTCATGACGCAAATACAGATATTCAGGATCATCAACAGGAGTTTCATTGAGATCACAACACCACTCATCAGGTTTTGATGAGCCTCCTTGCTTTTCGAAGGACTTCAGTCTTTTATTGCTTTAGTAGTTTTGATTAAGATTGTCGTGGATCTTGACCAGACACCTATTTGGAGACATTAGAGGCTTCATAGATAGACAAATTTAAAGAGTCTTTTAGTATTCATTTTCAAAAGTTTTGCTAAACTTTTATCATTTTTATTTAGTATTTCTAGGCAACTTGACATGCAGTCAATTACTTTAAATGTTTTTCTTCAGTTTTAAGTTTAGGTTTGGTTGAGTTAGTCTTCCACTAAGTAGCCAGCCATGTCAGGGGTTCACTTGAGGACCAATCATGATTTTCGAGTGTCGGCCACGTCTAGGATGTAAGCTCGGGGCGTCACAAAAAATCCTTGTTACCCAATGAGACTAAACTAGGCACCGCACCGATAATTTAGACTTGTATAAAAATCTCTGTCTCAATTTATTTTTCGTTATTTATCATCTATTATACTAACATGCAGGAGAGTTGACTACAAGCCTTTGAAAGTCGATTTGGAAGGAATTTTCAATTCAACCCCTCCCCCCTCTTGACTTAATTACTTCTTTACGTGCCCAACTAACCTGAGGTTACAAATTCTTTGGAAATGGATCAAAAGAGTGTTTTTATTTATGGGAAAAGGGTCAAATATATCCCTAAACTATTCGAAAAGGTCTAGATATATCTCTCGTTTAAAGTTTAGCTCACTCGTGCCCTGCCGTCCAACTTTTCGTCTAGATATGCCCTTATGGGCGTTAAACGTCAAATGGAATTGCCACATCATTTTTACATTACCACGTGGCATTGGAAAAGGGTCAAATATACCTCTAAACTATTCAAAAAGGTCTAGATATACCCCTCTTTTAAATAAACTACCCGACCCGTTTTCAACAATTTTTTTAATTTTTAAATTTTTTTGGTAAATCCCGAAAATGAGTAATTGACTAATAAAAAATAGGAAAAATATATAAAATTAACGCCAAAAATTCACAAATAAATATAGTAACCTTAAATTCAACAATTTTTTAAATTTTTATTTTTTCCGATAAATTCCGAAAATGAGTAATTGATTAATAAAAAATATGAAAATATGAAAATGACTTTATGCTGAACTTTTAGGTTATATTTTTCATATTTTTTATTAATCAATTACTCATTTTCGGAATTTATCGGAAAAAAATAAAAATTTAAAAATATTGTCGAAATTGTTGAATTTAAGGTTACTATATTTATTTGTGAATTTTTGGCGTTAATTTTATATATTTTTTCCTATTTTTTATTAGTCAATTACTCATTTTCGGAATTTATCGAAAAAAATAAAAAATTTAAAAAATTTGTTGAAAACGGGTCGGATAGTTAATTTAAAAGGGGGGGGGGGTTAGTATCTAGACCTTTTCGAATAGTTTAGGGGTATATTTGACTCTTTTCCAATGCCACGTGGTAATGTAAAAATGACGTGGCAATTCCATTTGGCATTTAACGCCATAAGGGCATATCTAGACGAAAAGTTGGACGGCGAGGGCACAAGTGATCCAAACTTTAAATAGGGGGTATATCTAAACCTTTTCGAATAGTTTAGAGGCATATTTGAACCTTTTCCCTTTATTTATTGTGGTTAGGGGTGTTTGGATCCATTATTGATTAAAATCAAAACCAAATCAATCTAGTCAGTTTTTAAAATTTCTAAAACCAAACCAAATCAAACGAAAAAAATAACCGTCAGTTTGGTTATTGTTGGTTTGGTTCGGTTTGGTTCAGTTTTTTTGGTTTATTCGATTTGAAAGTAATTTTTTTGCGGACTTACGTATTTCGATAGACACAAACACATAGCACATGAACACTCCACAAAAAAGCTATTGTCAGTTCAATTAATTAATTAAGCAATACAAGAGTTATCATTACACAAACAAAGTGATTCAATTAAGAGAAAGTGTGACCATTTTACGGGAAGTAGGGTAGGTAAATGAATTTGATGGACTTGGACTTAGGCTTGTTATAGTTGGGATGGAGAAAATGGTAAAGTTAAAGGCTTAAGTTAATTAAAATTCAACAAAATATTTATATTTTATTTATGAATAATATATAAATAATTGTAAAATTTATACATCTAATTTATCGGTTCAGTTTGATTATTTTTGCGCTTTTTTTTTTTAGTAAAACAAAAACCAAACCAAATTGTATGGGTTTTCAAAATTTAAAATCAAACCAAACCAAATATCGGTTTTTTTAATCGGTTTGGTTTGAATTGCGGTTCGATTTGATTTTTTAACCATAACCATGAACAACCCTAATTGTGGTAAATAGTTCCGTGAAGTAATAGGACCGGCAAATTTTAGGTGTCTAATTAAAAAAAAAACAAGTATAAATTAAAAAAAACAATAAAAATTAAGGGCTACTTTATATATAGAGAATAAATATTTTTAATATTATAACTTTTTGATCACCTTGATTGAATGACTCATATCATCCTTAATTGAGTGAGTCAGGTCATTTACCCAATTGTAAGATGAGGGATGATATAAGTAAGCAGAAATAAAAAGTGGGGAAAAATGGACCTGAGATGTCCGACGTAAACGGAAAGCGGTCAGGTATTGATTTAACGGTGCACAACATGCAATAGTAACTGAAACTTGCAAATACTTACATCTCACTATCAAATATTCATCACACTATTGCTAATAATAGCAATGAATAAAGATTATGTTTTCTGAATAAGAAGCTGCACAATTTAATTTTTGCCTTCACAGGTTCTTTTCTGTTTCTCCTTTTCCTTCACAATATCAGTTGTTTTTTTAAAATTATTTGAAAATCTATTTGTTATTTAGGTGTATTCCTTCATGGTATATATCCTAGATTTTTTGTTCTTGATTTCCATATTTGCATGCAATTGGTACGATTAATTGTGTCACTATCTCATTTAAAAGATTATATTGTTAGCAGAACGACAACCCTTGGGCCTATATTATTATATTTAGTTTAGGAGTGAGGGTGAAACTCCAACGCTTGACCTTGCTCTGGTACCATGTTATTTTGTGACCATCTCATGATATAAGTGGAGATTCTTTGAGTCTCAACTTTGAAGGGTAAGATTAATATTGACATTATTGTATATTGGGTGTTGAAATTAGTTATTTTAATTGCAATTTGATTATTATAGTACAAAATTCATTAATTATGTACATTTGACATTTATTAATTTACCATAAGTTGTAAGCTTCGCTTCAATGAAGTACACTTCATTTCTTGCTTTTCGCTTCAAGACTAAACTTACTACCTTGGGGTAGTTTGGTAGCTGGTATGGATGGGTGTTATGCAGGTATTGAATCTTGCATAAATAATATCACGTTTGGTAACTGGTTAGGAGGTAAGCTATTCATGTATAAAATTAATACGGTGTTTGGTTTGTAATTAGAAATCCGTATAACTATAATACATGTATAAGTTACAAGGGAATCTGTGTATTATTCTATGCAGGACAGAAGGTGGAATAAATAATACATGAATAACATTCATAACTAACCAGCTACCAAACGACCGCTTAGTCTATAAGTGAATACAACAATTTCTTGCTTTTCGCTTCATTCCAGTGATGGTCTAAACATTGATGACAGATTGCAGTGAGGTATATTTGATTTGAACATATAGATGACACAATCGCAGACTGTTTCGCTTGTTGTGACTTTCTTGATTTGAGCATTTCTACTTTATATATATGTGATGCAGATATCTTCCGAATTGAATGTTGAGCACTAATTTACTATCATGAACTCTATCCTGGATCGCGTAGCCAAAGATTATGGTAGACGGAACAGCTCAAGTGTGTATAGTAGTGGGGATGTCTTTGAGCCTTTGTCAAGTAGTAACGGTGAGGCTGAAGAGACAAAATATTTATTCCATATAGGCTGATCAAACTCTTGATCTGGCTAATTCCCCTGACTGTGCTTTATTGTTTCTACAGCTAAGCAACGGGCAAAATTGGTAGAATGGTTTAATAGTGTTCTTCCTCACTTGAGTTTGCCAATAAATGCTTCTGATGAGGATTTACGAGCATTGTTGATTGATGGTTCTATCTTATGCCAATTATTGAATAAGTTGAAACCAGGTTCAGTACCTGAGGTAGTTTATAACATTTTGATTTTACAGTATGCTGGAGTAAGTATGGCTTTGTCTGTTGACTTAACTGTATCTTTTGTTCTAGTGTGGTGGTACAGTACACTCTCCAGAGCTACGTTCAGAAAATATTAGAAGGTTTTTGTCTGCTATGGTTGAAATGGGCTTGCCCAGGTTCCACGCATCAGACTTGGAACAGGTTAATGAATATAAACTGGTGCTCATGTCATAACTAACTCATGTAGTTCATTTCTACTTATGATTATAGGAAGTCCTTGTTCTCCCGTTTGGCTATTTTGAAGTTGAAACTTGAAAATTTGAGGCTTTAAAGTTGTGTTTGGACATGCATTTTACTTGGAGTTTTGTGAGTGGAAGTCTCAAAAATACAACAACTGGTCCAAGCCCACTTGAAATTTCATGGCCAAACAGATATTTGAAGATAAAATTTCAAAATCTGATCCCAAATATATGGCCAAATATTAGCTTAACTTTGCAGGCCATTTGAGTTGTGTAACTTTTTCCATATGTAGAAAAGTGTTATCCTGCTTTACTTTTATATAGTGAATTGCCATCTATATTTCATTTTAGCTCTATTAATAATGATGAATTGTCCAGGGTTCCATGAAAATAGTACTGGAAAGCCTTTTAACACTTCGGGAAGAATTTAAGCTGAATGATGGAGGATACAATTCAAGCACAGTATTATCCAGTAAATATGGAGCTGATGCAAGCAGAAGATGGAAATTGTTGGGTGAAAATTTGGGATGTGGTGATTTTTCATACATAGAAGAATTTTCATCAAGAACTCACTCTACCTCATCCCTAGGAGAACGGATGAAGACAGGATCAGATTCAAAATTCCAGCGTGCGTTGAGAAGTCCTGTAGTGACAGGTAATGTAATATGCAACATAAAAACACGTTTACAGATGGCATAGCTGTTTGCTATTTGCTTTGCAATCATCAATGTTCTTTTGCTCTTCTTGGTTTTAAGAAGTTAAGCAATTGTTAAATTAGGTAAATAACTGTTTGCTCTTGCTACTTCTCCAAACTCCACATGTCATATCTTCTTTCTGAACTTTGTAGAGCCATCGGCCGCGTTAATACATCACGTTGGACATAAGTTCCATGAAGTATTTCAGCTTAAACAAGGGAGCTACACTGAAATTCCTGCTGCAAGGATTTCGGAAATGATGAGATCTAACAGTTTGGATGTTAGTAACAAGTTCCACCCTCCCTTTTGTCAATGAAGCTATCTTTCTAGTTGGATAAATTCTATTCTTGAAGGTTTGAATTTGTACTTGTTCCACTCATTTAATTTTTTATTGCTTTCAGATTGCCCCAACGCAGTCACTTCTAAGTGTTGTAAATGGGATTCTTGATGAAAGCGTTGAGCGGAAGAATGGAGAGATACCTCAAGTCTGCACTTAATTTGCATATTTTGACCTGTAGAATTTCTGTTCTATATGAATACATTACAAAATATATGATCTAACATTAGTTGGATGTCTAAATCTGTCAGCGTGTAGCGTGCCTATTGAGAAAAGTGGTGCAAGAAATTGAGCGGCGGATATCTACTCAAGCTGAACATCTTAGAACGGTATAATATGTAGCTGTATTCTCAATTTCTCTTTCCAGTGGATATATTTCATATCATTTTTCTTTCTGTGCCTGCAGCAAAGCAATCTATTCAAGTCTCGTGAAGAGAAATACCAGTCAAGGATCAGAATCATGGAAGTCCTTGCAACTGGAACTAGTGAAGAGACACAGGTAGTTATGGACTTCACATTCTAGGAAAAGTTCAAAGTCTGCGATTATTACGCTTCCAGAATTACTACCTTTACACATCCAATTCTTCTGCATTTCAGATTGTCATGAACCAGCTTCATCAGATTAAGGTAATTTTCCAGTTTTTTCTCTACCCCATTGCTAGCTTTGGTTCAGAATGTTCTCTTCTTTTGTGTGCTTTTAGCACTTACCATATCACACGAATCGGATATCCTGGAAATTAAACCAGCTATGCTTCATCCTATTTCTTCATCTCATGATTGAGGACATTATCATTGCTTGCTCAGATTAACAGTACTCTCTTTTGCTTCTGACTAGAAGTGTCGCGTATAATTTGTTTGTTAATCTTGTCAAGTGAAATCTGTTATTGACTGCAAAGAATATGATGCTAGAGTCTAGGTAGTTCCAAAAAATTCAGCTCCATCATTTTTCTCAACAATCTTTAGTTTTACTATTTCTTTGTTTTTGAAATCACATGCAGAATGAGAAGAACAAAGCGGAAGAGAAGAAGAAAATTGAGGAGCAGGATGTGCCTAGATTGAAAGAGAAGGACGATCAAATTGCCGCATTGAAGCAAGAACTGGAAATGGCTAAGAAGTCCTATGAATCGAAAGAGAACGAAGATCATGGACAAAATATCACAGCTTTGAAGAAAGAGCTGGAAATAGTTAAGAAATCATATGAATCGAAAGAGAAGGAAGATAATAAAGAAATTATAGCTTTGAAGCAAGAAATGGAAATAGTTAAGAAATCGTATGAATCGAAAGAGAACGAAGATAATAAAGAAATCACAGCTTTGAAGAAAGAAATGGAAATAGTTAAGAAATCGTATGAATTGAAAGGGCAGGAAGCTTTGAAGCAAGAACTGGAAATAGTTAAGAAATCGTATGAATTGAAAGGGCAGGAAGCTTTGAAGCAAGAACTGGAAATAGTTAAGAAATCGTATGAATTGAAAGGGCAGGAAGCTTTGAAGCAAGAACTGGAAATAGTTAAGAAATCGTATGAATTGAAAGGGCAGGAAGCTTTGAAGCAAGAACTGGAAATAGTTAAGAAATCGTATGAATTGAAAGGGCAGGAAGCTTTGAAGCAAGAACTGGAAATAGTTAAGAAATCGTATGAATCGAAAGAGAACGAAGATAATAAAGAAATCACAGCTTTGAAGAAAGAAATGGAAATAGTTAAGAAATCGTATGAATTGAAAGGGCAGGAAGCTTTGAAGCAAGAACTGGAAATAGTTAAGAAATCGTATGAATTGAAAGGGCAGGAAGCTTTGAAGCAAGAACTGGAAATAGTTAAGAAATCGTATGAATTGAAAGGGCAGGAAGCTTTGAAGCAAGAACTGGAAATAGTTAAGAAATCGTATGAATTGAAAGGGCAGGAAGCTTTGAAGCAAGAACTGGAAATAGTTAAGAAATCGTATGAATTGAAAGGGCAGGAAGCTTTGAAGCAAGAACTGGAAATAGTTAAGAAATCGTATGAATTGAAAGGGCAGGAAGCTTTGAAGCAAGAACTGGAAATAGTTAAGAAATCGTATGAATTGAAAGGGCAGGAAGCTTTGAAGCAAGAACTGGAAATAGTTAAGAAATCGTATGAATTGAAAGGGCAGGAAGCTTTGAAGCAAGAACTGGAAATAGTTAAGAAATCGTATGAATTGAAAGGGCAGGAAGCTTTGAAGCAAGAACTGGAAATAGTTAAGAAATCGTATGAATCGAAAGAAAAGGAAGAGCATAGACAAGAAATTGCAGCTTTGAAGCAAGAACTAGAAACAGTTAAGAACTCGTATGAATCGAACGAGAAGGAAGATCATAGGCGAGAAATCGCAGATTTGAAGCAAGAAATGGAAATAGCTAAAAAATTGTATGAACAACACACCCTAGAAATGAAAGAAAAGGCTACAGAAGCTCAACAAGAACTTGAGGAGAAGTTGAAGGAGGCCATGAGCCTTTTGACAGAATCAAGAAATAGGATAAAGGAACTTGAGACATTTGCTCAATCAAACTCTCACAGTTGGAAGAAGAAGGAGCATATTTACCAAATATTTACAGACTTCCAGCTGGGTGCACTGCGTGTATGCTTGATCTCTTTTCGTCTTTTTAAATTTTTCCTAAAATGTCATTTATGTAGAATGTATAACTTGGACCTCCATGACTGTTCAGGAACTGAAGTTTTCTTCTCAGTCAATAAGGCAAGAAGTGGTGAAAACTCAGCAGAGCTACGTGGAGGAATTCAATCAACTAGGTCATTTCAGCTGCTTGAAGTGTTATACTAATGTCGTTTATTGAAGGCCATATAAGTATAAGATATCAAGACAAGTTTTAACATTGACTTAAATGGATTTTCCTCATGAAATCAAATTTCGATTACAGGTGCAAAAGTTAGAGCACTTGGACATGCAGCTGCAAACTACTCTGCACTCCTTGCTGAGAATCGCAAACTGCACAATGAGGTGCAGGAGCTAAAAGGTGTGATAACATAGTGATCTTCGTAATTTCGAGGACTGAAAATTAAGTACCGTTCTTGTTCATCTACTTATGTTTATTTTTCAATTAGGAAATATCAGAGTATATTGTCGAATTAGGCCATTCTTTCGTGGACAAAAGGAAAAGCAATCAGTTGTTGAATACATTGGAGAAAATGGGGAGCTGATTATTGTAAATCCTTCCAAACAAGGAAAGGAAGGCCGCAGGTCTTTCAAGTTTAATAAGGTCTACAATCCAGCTGCAACACAAGGTTTTCAGATTCTTCCATATAAATTATAATCAATTATTATATCTCTAATCTGTATAATTAACTCTAAAATTACTTCACCTTCCAACTCTTCTACAGCTGATGTATATTCAGATATTCAGCCATTAATACAGTCCGTGCTTGATGGATATAATGTGTGTATATTTGCCTATGGTCAGACTGGATCAGGGAAAACATACACAATGGTAATGAATTTTGGTATATAAATTTGTTAAATATGTTTATGTTTTTTCACTTTCCTGAAGTCAAACTTAATTGACCTACAGACTGGCCCAGACAAAGCGACCGAGGAGAATTGGGGTGTCAATTATCGAGCTTTAAATGATATTTTCAGAATTTCTCAAATGAGAGTGAACACCTTCACATATGAAATTACAGTTCAAATGATGGAAATATATAATGAACAAGTTCGTGACTTACTCTCAAGTGATGGTTCACCAAGGAAATATCCTTTTATTTACTGCATGGTATCTGATTTGTTACTTTCAAACATTAAATGATCGACCAGTCTGAAATATTCTTCGGTTTTAACTTTTTTCTTCCTTCCTTCCTCCCTCTTTGCTGATACTGCTGTCTTACATTTTCAATTAATTTCCAAAAAGACCATCTCAGACTTGCATATAACATGCATCTGGCTAACTGTTTTCCTTGATTTGCACACACTTGGGATAGTGTCCGCCCCCCAGCCTAATGGATTAGCTGTTCCAGAAGCAAGCATGCATACAGTAAACAAGACCTCTGATGTCTTAAATTTGATGGATATTGGATTAAGAAATCGAGCAAGAGGTTCCACTGCAATGAATGAAAGAAGTAGTCGGTCGCACAGGTTCCGTATAACAACTCTACAGAGTTCATCTACATACTTTGAAGTTTGAAGTACATATCTTCTCTTTTTTGTTACGAGTGATTTACTATATCATACTGAGATTAGCTGCAATATGTGCACAGTGTTGTCACTATTCATGTTCGTGGGATGGATATTAAGAGTGGTTCATCCATGTGTAGTAGTCTTCATTTGGTGGACCTTGCTGGAAGTGAAAGAGTCGACCGCTCTGAGGTGACTGGCGATAGACTGAAAGAGGCACAGCATATAAATAAGTCATTATCTGCCCTAGGAGATGTCATTTATGCTTTGGCACAAAAGAATGCCCATGTCCCATTCAGAAACAGCAAGCTGACTCAAGTCCTTCAGACTTCATTAGGTACTTTTTTTTATTTATCCTAGTTAGTCTTTTGATTTTTTTTCTTCCGGTAACCATGTAAACAGTACCATTAACAAACAAAAGTGATACACCCAAAGAACACCCATCTCCACAACCGCCTTCCAGGAAGAGTGCTATGAAGAATGAGCCTCCAACACAAAAAAACTAGTTATATCATCTGTGCGGTATGAATAACTGAAACTAAAAACAAAGAATCCTATGAATAAATTGCCAACATCTGTGCCCTCTTTGATGAATTTAACATCTCAATTCTTTGTACAATTTCCTCTTCCAATTCCTAGCTCTCCAGATGTGGTAGCCATCACCTTTACTTTGGAACTTCTTCCGGTGCTTCCTCTTTATAGTCATTAAGACTTGCTTCATGTCCCCTACCTGAATGTTAGGGTTATTATACACAATTAGTTCATTCCTAACTGAAGGGATCCATGCACAATCAGAAAACAAGTGAGAGCTAGTCTCCAATGTCTGTGTCTTACACAGACAGCTAATGGAGGAGCCAGAATTTTCACTAAAAGGGGTCAAAATATAAAGAAGTAAATCTTCGAAGAAACCAAGGGGTGTCCGTATGTAATATATATCCATAAAAAAATATTTTTACCTTGCTACACAGTTTAACTCTCCGACTTAAGTACATACAGCAAAAGAGATCGATCATCCACTTGCATCTTCAGTTTAATCAGTCTCTCTTTCGTAAGCAGACTGTCCACATTATAACTCTATGCATTGGCTGGGCTACAGATGTCCACACAAGATCTGTAACCTCCAGCTTCCTTTGCAACCTCATAAGATGTTGATAACTACTAGTGATGAAGTATACTCCATTAGCAGTTAAACTATACACATTCTAGTTATACCATATGACCATCCTATCCTTCAAAGAGTTGATTTTTCTCCGGTACCAGCTACTATCCAATGGAGCTTTATGCCCCCAGGTACTATTGTCATTTTTCATATAAATCCCATGGACCCCAACTTACCCACAACTAGTTTCCAAAGTAACTTCCCCACTGAATCTACATTCCAAGTTCTGCATTCTTTCACGTTTAAGTCCTCTATTCTTTCGTAGACAAGCTTTGTCCCAAGAGACGAGGCATGGTTTCCTCAGTCCTTCTGAGATCCCCCACATATGTTCCCTGCACTTTCTATCCACCTCCTTCAATATGCTCTGTGAGATAAAGGCAGACCCTGAAGCTATCTATAGAGAAAAGCACAACATTCAGAACTTGAAATCTTCCAGCATAGGATAATTGTTTAGCATAAGCAGTACTAAGCATGCTGGTAATCTTGTCAATTAGTTGTTGACACTCTAACTTTCTACACTTCTTAGAGGATATAGGCAGTCCCAAATATCATATTGGAAATACCCCTAGAGTGTAACCAGCAATATATCTTTCATTTGGTCAGTAACTCCAACTATAGAGATGCTAGACTTCTCCAAATTTGCAATCAAACCTGTGGCTGCACTAAAGTGATCCACTGCTTCCCTCGCCCTTAGCACGGAGTGTTCCTCTCTGTTGCAAAATATCATTAGATCATCAGCAAAGATTAAGTGAGTCAGTTTAACAGTCTTGCACATGGGGTGATATTTCATGTCAGGCAACTGGTACAATACGTTACAACATGAAATTGGTCTATATTGGCTAGCACTGTCAGGACAGTCAACCTTTGGAATAAGGGCAATATTAGTAGAGTTAATCAGGAGTCTTTTGATTCTTTCAGCAACAATTGAGCATGAATCATAAGCAAGTGCATCGGAGATATTTCAATGAAAAATAGAATATGTTTGACATGGTTGAGAACCTCCATGGTTTCAAAAAGATTTTGACCACACTAGGTAGTTTCTATATCCCTGCAATATTATCTTTTACATCTCGGGTACTTATCTGATAACTATTCTTGCTTATTTAGTGTTGAACTATTTATTTATGATATTTGAGTACCCGCTCGGATGTAAATTTCTTCAACATTTGTAATTCTGCAATAAGTTCAAATTGATCTCTTTCCTCATTAATGTCCTCGGCTGTTGATACTTGCACATTTTTTATTTTGTTATACAGGTGGTCAAGCAAAGACACTTATGTTTGTACAGCTTAATCCTGAAGTTGGTTCACATTCAGAAACCACGAGCACATTAAAATTTGCTGAAAGAGCATCTGGAGTAGAGCTAGGTGCTGCTCGAAGTAGTAAAGAGGGCAGGGATGTAAGAGATTTAATGGAGCAGGTGTTCTTTAAACTTTAAATGCTTATTAGTAACATTCAATAGTTGTGCTAGAACTGAAACATTATTTTATGCTTCTTCATTAATTACCTAACTTGTACGATCCCAGTCCAATTGTCAAGGTCTTGTCTGGTTTAGACCTAGACGCGCACAAATTTGACCCTTCGATTTTAACCCAAAAGGCGCCTCAATAGTTGGTTTTTAACTCTTTCTTATAAGGTCCTTAACCTTCTTCTCCCATTCTACCTAAGGTGTAATGCGCACCTCTTGTTCAGAAGTTTGCCCTTCATCATGGGCGTCACATACACTCCTCATGGAACTCAGCCTCCTCTCTGAGATTTTCCCCACCGTCGTACTGAGATAGAGGGAGTCCTACTCTAATACCATTTGGCTAGGCTCAATGAAGACATTACTTTAACATTTGGAGCAGGGTCGTTACATATGGTATCAAAGCAGGACTTCCCCTCAGTACGGTGGTGAGGCAAACCTCAGTGAGGACGCTGATTCCCAAGTGGGCGCGTATGATGCCCATGTTGAAGGGCAAATTTCTGAAGAAGAAGTGCGCATTACACCTAGGCCAAATGGGAGAAGAGAGCTATGGACCTTATAAAAATGAGTTCAAATCAACTGTAGAGGCGCCTTTTGGGTTAACCCAAGGGACAAATTTGTGCAAGTCTAGGTCCAAAATGGACAATACATAAACAATTTTGAAGAATCTTTTAGGTCTCTTACTGTGCATAAATATAATATGCCAATTGCCAATTTGTTGTATGTATGAGGATCAGAAACTTTTAGATGCACAATCATTTTTACTGTTGGGAGGACGTGCACTTACAAATCATCATCTTCATGTTCGTATGTGCTATTTTTTCTATTAAAAAGAAACACTAGCATTATAATAGTTTCGAGATAAGATAAAGTGTTTTCCCTATAATATTGTGCCTATCTTTTTGGTTTGCTGTTTGCAAGAAAACTGAGAGATATGATATGCAGCCTGACTTTACTTTGTAGGGTGTGACTTGGAGTCTCTTGTAATTTTTAATCTTCCAGGTTGGATCTCTCAAGGAAACGATATCTCAGAAAGACAATGAGATTGAGAAACTGCAGCTGATCAAAGATAAAAAATATGCTAATACTGGAGCCGCCAGCGAGACAAATAGTACTGATTAGGTATGGCTCCTCATCTCCTAGATTTTTTTTTTTGGTGAGAATTCCTGATAAAGCCAAAAGTTTTCTGGTAAGTTAAACTACTTAAAGGAGACTTATGTACTTAGCTTGATCTATAGTGATCAATTTAGACTCCGAAAGGATACCTATTGCAGTCTGAGTACTGAGAATCTTTGGATTTTGCAATGCATATATTGTAGAAAAACTGAGTGATATATTAAGTAAGTTGAAACCAACTTGTTTTCCAAGGAAACATTTTCTTGGAAAACATTTTCCTTTCATACCAAACATAGAGACCCAACTGGAGCGTGCACCGGGAGTCCAAACGGGGATGAACCTGATTCTGATATCATGTAAAGATATGACATCTGGGCCTAACTCGACTCCAAAAGTTAGCTCATGAGAGGAGGATTGTCCAAGTCCATATGTGGTTGTTTCTTTTCTGATTGTTTTCGAGCTTCTGTTGTATTATTATCGTGTTTGTTGCCCTGAGGTCTTGGTCTTAGACTGACTGGAGTTTCAGGTTAGTACGATTATACATAATATCTGATGGTTGTGTTTTTTTATGGACACAGGAATCTGTGTTGAAAGCAATCTTTTCCCTGAAAGGAGCCAAAAAAAAAGCAGTGGACACAGATAAGTAAGTTTATATCATCTCATTGTGTTTGCAATTGATAATATATATACACAGATATGTAAGTTTAAAAATCAAATACATCAAAATACAATAACATTATACATTCCTACACTATATATATCGAAACATGATTATCATAACAATATATTGTTAACTGCATAGAATCTAGAAAGAACATAAGTGTGATGAACTTGTAGTTTTGAATAGTTTAAGGAATAAGGCACAAGTACCACTAGACTATGACCGAAATCGAGAGACACACCTTTTTGGTTTACGTGGCCTCCAAACATCTCCCACGCGACTCAACTAAGTAGAGTCACGGAGTGTGCTACGTAAGCCAAAAGGAGTACAAAATTACAAAAAAAAAATGAGTTAGGGGGTAATATAAGCTTAGTTTAGTTAAGATATGTCTGGAATTTCGGTCATAGTCTAAGGGGTACTTGTGCCTTATCCGATAGTTTAAATTGAATTAACTGCTTGACTAGCATATCATATGATTTTTTTATGCAGATAACTGAACAATATTGAGTTAAGAGTTTCATTGGGTGGGAGTAGAGGATCTTGCAGTTAAATTATTATTGATAGGTTTCTTGTTTTTCTACTAGTGAGTAAAGCTTGTATGAAATTTGTAACATTCAAGTGTTGTATTACTAGCCATTCATCTTGGGGTTATGATTTTGAATTAACAAAGATACGAAGTGTCGTTTGATAGGATGTATAAGAATAATGTTGAATAAGGTGTATTAGTAATAATGTTAGTATTAGTTATCCAAATTTTATTACTTATCTATTGTTTGATTTGGTGTATTAAAGATAACATGACATAATTTCTAAAAATAAATAAATTTATTTACAAAAATATCCTCCACAAAATATGATGGAAAGGAAGTAAAAAAAGTTTGAGACACAATTATCTCTTTAACCATTGCTAATACATACATTAAAGCAATTTGCATTACTAATACCATGAATTAAAAAAATGTATCAAATAAAATACTAATAATACAAAAACTAATGCAAACATTATCAGTTTTCATCAATTTTAAAATATTGATAGCAAGTAAAAACATTAGTTTACGAAATGAAAAAATGACAAAATAATAGAAAAGAACAATATGGTACATATAACAGAGTAATCATTCATCATCACAAATAGATGCAACCCCATCTATTCACGTAGGCTGAACTCATCGGTGATCCCTTTAAGTTGACATCAATTTTTACTTAAACATCTTAATTAAATTTTGTTTATTTTAGGCCACATTGTATCATTTTGACATTTTTTACTGACATAATATGGTGAGTGTAATACACTTATAAAAGGTGCGTGAAAGGCTTATTTATCCAATTTTTATTTAATATTTTTCTTCTTCTTTCCCATTTTTTGGCCACCATTTCCTCTGGCTTAAAGCCTTTCCATGGTGAAAAGTGTTGAGAGAGATTTTAGAGTTGAATACACATTTCTACGTGGATTAGAATTGATGGTCAAATTGGTGAACAATTTTATTGTTAAATCACGGCAGTTCAAACTATGTGTTTGAAAGTCCGACTTCACTAACAATTTTTTTTCTTCTATTTTAGACCCATCTTGGGTTTTCCCCCCCCCCACTATTTTCTCGGTGATTTTTTGTTTAGTTTTCATTTGTACTGCAATTTCTTGAACTTTGCTAGAATTGTGCAAACTTTAATGTTTAGCTTTGTTTTCTTCCCAACCACTCTCAGTTTATCTCAAATCCGAGCTCCATATATGTTTTCCTTCTTTTTTTTTTTGCTTAATTTTGGAGCTGAAGATTGATTTTGGTAAAGGTTTTTTTTTGAAAAGATATTCTTGAGTTGAGCTAGAAATTGTGCAAAATCTGCTTGCCTTTCTGGAGAATGGGAATTTTAAATTGTTGGTGTATTATGTTGCTCAGTTTTTTAACTAGGAACAGTTGTTTTCTAATAAAGTTTTGATTTTTTTTAGAATTCTTGAGTTGTGCACCTTTTGGTAAAATATAGATGGAGTGGATTTGGTTAGGAAACAAAATGAGTTATGCATTTTAATAGATCCATTGTTAGATCCAAAAAATTTAACTGTTAAAGTTAAAGAAATTTGAGATATGGAGAAGACCAAGAGGCGGGGTTGGGTTTGATTTGCTGGAGAAGACGATTGGGGCCGAGGGTGGGGTAGTTCTGCAAAGTAGATTTTTTTTTTAAAATGATTTAATCCCCTTTAATAATTATTTGAGCTAAAATGTCACGTGTCGTTGATTTATTGGCTAATTTTTTTAGTTTTATTCAAAATTCATTATTAAAGAATTATATTGGTGTCAAATGATAAATGTCTTCGTTTAATTCGACACTTTGACACATTATTAGCGAGTGTGTTACACTCTCTTAAAATTTTTGCTAATTGTGAAATAAGTTTCAAAATGACACAGCAAAACTTCACATGACGTGTCTAAAATGAACAAGCTCAAGTTAAGATGTCTAAGTAAAATTTTATGCCAACTTTAAGGAGCTATTAATGGGTTCAACCCACGTATTTAACTCTTATCAAGCAGTACTATTAATATGACATAACATTCAAACATTTCACATTTCGTCATTAAATAATTCTATTTATATAGTTTGGTTTAATGTTTAATAATTAAATTTATTTTTCTTTTACATCGTTTCTCAACTAATTATTGAAAAAGTAATATTTCCAACTTTTTGTCTTGAGTAATTTAGTGGTGTGCATCGATCAGTTCCGTTTGTTTTATGGATTGTCGGTTCATTTTTTTGATTTTTGATTTTTAAATACGCTAAACCAATAATCAAATCAATAAAATATTATTTATTGATTTTCGGTTTATCGGTTTTTGGTCCTTAACGGTTTGGTTTTCGGCTTAACCGATAAGAAAATGTTCATCAAACAACTATATGACTTCTCTAATAATTTGGCACGACAAGACAATAATGTAACTTTATAAAATGCCCATAAAATAGAGACAATAGTAATTAACATGAAAAGAACTACTCAAGTGCAGTACAAATAAAAGAACTAGGATAATAATGTGAATTGAAGGCTAAATGACAATGATAGTAACCAATAAAGTACTCATATTGATATTTAATATCTATACATGGGTAAAGTAGTAAATTGCTACTATTTTAATGGGTTATTGATTTACCCAATACCTCAATTTTAAAAACTAATGTTCAACCAATAACTCGTTTGATTATTATGATGACACTCTCATTTCACGTAAGAAAAATTTAAGTTTTTCAAAATGTCCATCATACTCGTACTTTTGAATTCAACTTAAGTAAAACAAAATATCAACTCAACCTTAATACTATATATTCTCAAAATAAAATATAAAACCTCAATTTCTAGCGCAAGTACATAGTCTTGAATCTTGATGTAGTGTGTATAGTTTATATGGATATAAATATTTCACTATCTTCTTCATTATTTATAGTTAGATTTTAGTACTTTCTTTATAATTTTCTTCTTGTTTAAAATTTGATAGAAGCCAAACAGAAAGAGGAAAAGGGCATAAAGTCTGATTCATTTGTACTAAATAAACAACATCAAATCATTTATATTCTTCTTACTTTTCCTCTATTTTACCATTTCTTTTCTTCTTGAAAATATTGTTTGATGTATCAGAAAAACATCAACACAAATAAAGAGAGAAACAAAGAAGATGAACAAATAGTCATATATGTTGGTGTTCATGAGTCGGGGTAAAATGCAAACAAAGGAAACATGCAGTTGCATTTTTTCTTTAATGGGGTGATTGTTGAAAATTTTAACGCATGACATAAATGTAAAAGAAAGATAAGGGGAAAATAAAAAATAAACAAAAAAAAAGATAAATAAGAATTGATCTAACATGAGAGAGTAGAGAAGAATTGGCATTGGGGACATATTAATAACTTATATTACTCTATACCCACTTAATTTATTTTTGATTTATTTTTTAGGGTTGGACTTTTAAAAAAGGAAAAGGTGTGGGGTCATGGATCTCTACGGCCTTTTTAAAACTTGGGGTATATTTGTGAATGTGGGGTCATGGGCTTGTTTATTATTTTTAAAACTTGGGGAAAATATATATCTTTACAAAAATATATTATAATCCCAATACATTTTAAAAAATATTATTATTTGATGAAAATCGAGGCAAATATTTTCTGAATCTCTGTTCTTGTTTCTGTTCCGACGTTTCTTCTTCTCCAAGTGCAGGACTTTTCATCTTTCAAGAACATCTTCTATTCTTGAAAGATGAAACGAGTATAATCAGCCATTTTACCGACTTCTCTTTCATTAACTTATTCAATCATTTCATCGTCCTAAATTTTGGTAAAGCTTATTCACCGACTTCTCTCAAATCTTCATTTTTGGTAAAGCTTATTCAACCATTTCCCCAAGTTCAAACCTTTCATCTTTGGTAAGTTGAATTTTCTATAATGGTATTTTTCGTTAATTTTTAGCCGTATTTGGTTATTTATTTTGTTATAGTAGTGTAATGATTTAATGAACCTTTTTTCTGGACTGTTTTTCTTCATGTTCTTATTTAGGATGAATTTTTTTCGCCATATTCCATGAATATTTGTGGTCTCTAATGACGTTCTTGTTTGGATATAAATATTTGACCCTATTTGGTTGCTTATTTTTTTTAAAATAAAATTATGTTTATCTCGCCTATTGATTTTGAAATTTTGGCTTTTGTTGTGGATTGCTCTTTTTCTCCGTTGTATTTGTTTGCTTTTGCTGGTCTTGTTTTTTCTCATTACATCTGTTGTTACACGGAGTGCAGTGTTTTCATTGCCCTCTTTTGTTAGATCGCCTAAACTTAGATCGACTTTAGTGGCGTTTCTGTCAATCGCATTGTTGATTTCTGTTGGATCTGATATTTGTTTTGTATGTTTAATTGGAGGTTTACTCTGGTTTTGGCTAAAACTAGAGGTGGGATTGTTAAACGATCTGTTCCTAAGTCTTCTAAAAACAAGAAAACAAAGGCTGAAGAAGTTTCAAGATCTTCAGAAAAGAAAAAAATTGTAGTTGACGAACCCAAGTCTAACTCGAATTCTGATACGATGGCTGAAATCGACAACTATGAGGACAGTAGTGCCCAGGCTACTGATGATGTTGAGTCCAGTGAAGAAAACACTGACAGTGGAGATGAGGAGACTAGTAGAGATAGCCGAGATATTGGAGATGAGGATGATGATCCCCTGTCCTTGCCAACTTGTGCAAGAGAAATCTCTGGTAAGTCCTATAATCTAATTGTATGGATGAGTTAGGATCTTTTCCAGCGAAAATTTCTATGAGAGCAAGAATGACTCTTTATCGTGATTTTAGAAATATTGTAGTTCAAGAAAAAATTTATAATGACTTTAAAGGTACTTGTTTTGGACATTTAAGATATATTCCAAAATATTACAAGTTCAATGGACAGATGGTCCATTACATGTTGTTGGGTCATGTCAAAAATGATAAATTTTTTTTACATGAGATGTGGTTTTGTGTGAATGATAAGCATGCTTTTTTGGCTTAAAAGAGTTTGCATTGATTACGAGGCTGGATTGCTCGGCAAACCCCAGTGATGCAAAATGAAAAAAGTGCTTCAGAAAGGTGATAAATTTTTCTATAAAGTAACCAAGAATAAGAATATCAGTGGTACAAAGTTGATGAGTTTGATTAAGGGTACCAGATTGAATGAGGAGCAGAAGTTGAAGTGCTCTTTAGTTTGGTTTGTCCACTCGATGTTGCTTGCCCACGATTGATCTAAGATTGTGGATTC